ATCCTATGCCAATGTATTGATCTACAGTATGTTTATTTGCTTTTTTTTTTAGGTTGATTTAAGTAGTATTAAGGTCTGGGCATTTTTTACCTTAATGCATTCTCTACATTAGGGTAAAAACTGCCCAGTACCTTTTTTCTCCCCCCAGTCCCCCCCACTCTTACCTGTCAGCTCCGCTCGTCCCCGCCGCCGGTCCCGAAGCGATCCTACATACCCCGAACTTCCGGCTTACGGAAGGAGGATACTGATGGCAGAGGAGCCATAGGCTCCTTCTGCCATCAATCAAAGAGGGAAGGGGCGTGGCCTGCCACAGGGCTGTGTGTGTCTATGGATGCGCACGGGTGCCTCCATTAGAATGATGGTGGCACCCGTGCAGGGGGGGGGGAGAGCGCTGTGGGGACACACTAGAAAACGAGGAATTAAAAAGTTTTAAAGAAAAGCAGCAACAGCCTCCAGCTATGGAGGGTCTACTTGAAAAGGAAAAAAAAAATAAAAATGAGGCTTAAAAGTCACTTTAACTTTAATTTTTATAAACTTCTTCTTCTTTTTTTTTTTTACTTCTACATAGGAAGCTCAGAAGTGGGTCACAGCCATGGCAAGGGGGCGGGTTTGTGGATACCTTTTGACAGTATTGACGTGATCAGGCAACTTTACAGTCACCTGAATCATTTCCAGTGTAAAGCCGTTCGTCGGCTTTACACATGTAAGCATACATATGGCATAGGGCGAAAGTGAAAGGGTTACGCCTTCTTCCCAAAAGAAAAAAAGAGCTGCTGCTGTAACTTCTTATAAAGTGGAGCTTTACCCCCCTTGACTAAAATTCACATCACCATGCAGCTCTGCAGGCTGATATGAAACCATCTTACGTTCATTAGCTAAACAAACATATTTTTTTTTTACTTACAATTTCTTTTTTTCCACTTCCTGTAAAAAAACAATGCTCTGCTGATGTAACCTATCCAGGATGCAACAATTGGTCACTTTGGCACATATGATGTAATTGTGCCCAAGTGTTGCATCCTGGGAAGGTTACATCAGCAAAGCATTGCTGGTAAATCTCATCTGTAATCTCACGAGATCTCAGAGAAAGGCATTTTCCTCCCCTTAGATGATGTGCATGGTCACATGTGCCAGAGTTCCAGGAAGTGAAGATAGATATATTAATCTGCCCTTAGTAAAAATGGCCACTGTGAGAAGAATGGGAAGGATAGAAAAACAAAGGTATGTAAAGAATAAAAAGCTAGCAATGATCTGTTTGTAGATTGGCTTTACTAAACATTTCTAAAGGTGCTTTTGCTGTTATTTTGAAGATATGGGTAAAGTTCCTCTTGAAGGTGGGCTTTAATTTGTATGTCGCTTTAAAATTACATATGCATCTACAGGGGTGTGGACATTTTTGAAAACACTACTTGCCCAAGAACTAAAGCGGGGGCCGTATCTACTTGTCCCTCATGACAATCTACTTGTCCTGATACAACAAAAATAATTTTAACCAAAACCATATTTAGTAGTGCTAAGAAGCACTTCTCATTGGTCAGTGCCGTCAGGTGACTGCGTTGACCAACGAGTGCTTGCAATTTGCGAGCGAAATTCAGAATACTTTTTCACAATTAAAAAAAAAAAAAAACTTAACTGTATTAGAGCTGCAACAGTTAATCGATTTAGTCAATTAAAATCGACGATTGAAAACGTTACCAACGTTTTCGATCGTCGATTCGTCGGCTATCAATTGATTTCCCTGTTTCCCCTGATTTCCCCGGTTTTACACGCGGCCTGAAGCACACGTCACACGCTGCTCACGTACCGCTGCGCCCGCCAACCTTCACCTTTCACTTCCACCGCTCCAAGCTTGCTCCCGTGATGGACTACAATCTCAATACAAACTAGTAGTCCATCACTGGAGACTTTTTTTTAAAAATCCGATTAATCGATTAATCGATTAATCGAACTTAATAATCGGCTAACTAATCGATTATGAAAATAATCGTTAGCTGCAGCTCTAAACTGTATTGCTATCACACAGGGAATAATAATCCCCTGTGTGGTAGCATTTGGAGGTGACAGGTAATTTTTATTGACCATGTCACCTCCAACACAGGAGTTCTAGCACAGCACTGTGCTTGAACTCCTGTGCGGGAACGAGCAGCGGCCGCCGGGGACAGAGGCTGAGGGAGGTGATAGAATACTGTCACGGCTCTACGCCCCCCGCTCCTTCCCCAGTTCTCATCGCTCCGTACCCGCCCCCCGCACCTTCCACGCCTCCCGCTCTCGGCGCTCATTTAAGGAAAAAACACATCCCTGCTACTTGTCCGTAAAATAGTATAAAAACCCCTTGCCCGGCGCCCGGAACTACATGTCCCGGGCGTCGGGCGATATGAATTCCACACCCTTGCATCTAAGACAAGTGGGCACACTTGGCACACCAGCAGTGGTGAAACTACAAATCCCTTCATGCCTCTGGGAGGGATCCCTGTAGCTGTCAAGAGGCTTGCAATGCCTCATGGGACTTGTAGTTTCACATCTGGAGTGCTGAGTGAGGTTCCCGCTCCCCGATCTAAGACTATTGCATCCTTAGGGTGACAACACTGCTGCATGCTTAGTGTGGTCATCCTGTTAAAGAAGTAAAAAAAAAACAGCTCTACTGACAAGATCAACTTGCAATGAAACTGTTACAGGGGATGGGTCAGCACATTAGAGAGTTGGACTGCAGCTCTCACATCCAAGCTCTCCTGTGGTCTGACACACCCCACTGAACGCTGCTCTAGTTAGCTGATTAGAGCAGTGTTCAGGGGAGCTTGTCTGTGAGAGGAGGCATGGAGGAAGTGGAAAGCACCTGACCACCTTCAAGGGAATTACACGCAGTCATTGGTTCAGATATGATTGGGTTAAGATTAGGGATGCACAGATACTTTTCGAGTACCAGTGCAGATAGTTGGCATTTTCATGAGAACTACCAGGGTTGCAGCGGTTGCAGCTGGGACCTGGCTCTGGCACTCCACCACGGTCCTGAAATCATTAGTCTGTATTGTTTTAGAAAAACTGTCACATGACAATAAACAAAAATGTATCAGTACTCGTACTTGTAAGTACTCGGCAAGTACCAGTACTCGTACTCACAAAACTGGTATCTGTGCATCCCTTTATTTATATGTATAAAAACAAAACCATACATTAAAACAGAGATGTACAAATCCCAGGAGCTCCGTGTGCTCCTTACAAATGACAGCTGTCTCCTAACTTCTGAATTTTTCTCTAGTGTAGTCTTGGAGCTCAAAAGTATCGGTACATGTACTCATACTTCTACCGAGTACTCTACTTGGTATCTGTGCAACCCTAGTTAAGATTAACAAACAAGAGTTACAGGCTTTCACTGACCATATCAACTCAGTGGATCATAACATCAGGTTTACGCGGGAAGATATGCAAAACAACAAACTGGCTTTTTTGGATTGTTTAGTAACAGTAGAAGAGGGAAGGAGGCTGGAAAAGGAGGTCTACCGAAAACCAACACACACGGACCAGTTCCTGCTATTTGACTCCCACCACCCTCTAGATCACAAACTGGGAGTCATCAGGACTCTACACCACATCTATTGTCTGCCACATACAATGCTGTTTTAACACCTCTCTCTGGGCAGATTAATAACACCTCCTAGACTCCAATTATGCAAATGCAATAAACAACTGGTTGTGACTAACCGATTATGTGGTTTGGAGCAACATTAACCATATTTATTCCCAGATACTTTTTTGTACAAGTCATTCTGAATTGAGAAAGCCGGTTGGATGACCAGTGAAACGTCTTCAAGAAAAATACAGCAAGTTGCCTTGACTTATTTTTTACAGATTTGTCAGAGAGCTGGTCTTCTATTTTTGTGAGATTGGCAGTCTGACTCTCCTAGTGCTGCCAGCGCAAGATTTTTTTTTTTTTTAATCCTTGCTGCAGCACTTAGCAGACATAAAAAGTATAAAATAGGCCTATTCATTACTGTATATGGGGCCTGGCTGTACTACAGTAATAGATTAACATGGTTCAATTGGTTTTTAAACTGTTGGTATAAAGTGGCACCTTGCTAGGGGCACACTAGTTCTCATCTCACTAATGTCTCTGAATGTCTGCTTAGCATTAAATTGGAACTCCGTTCAAACATAGTAAACTGCTATTACTCCAAATGTAAATAATACAAACTCATCAAGATATAAAAACATCTATTTTTTTCATGAGTCTGCCTATAATCTGTTTCATATACAGTGCATTTAGAAAGTATTCAGACCCCCTTCACTTTTTTTTCAATTTTGTTATGTTGCAGCCTGATTCAACAGTTGTTTAAATTCTTCTTTTTTTCCTCCTTAATCTACACTCAGTACCCCCATAATGACAAAGTGAAAACTGAATTTTAGAAATGTCTGTGAAT